TTATCTCACTAACTACTGCCGGCTAATGCAGTAATTAATTTCTACTAATGGTTAGTTAACTTGATTACATAATGTGTGAGCGGTCATTCGCAAATACACATCCTTTTTTTTGGTGTACGTATATTTATGGTTCGGGTGTTCAAAATTGTTATAAATTTACTCTTGATTTTTGCMAAATTAAAGTGGCAATCGATCATTCCTCACTCATTGTTTGTTTTCATGGTAAGATTTTTTKGATGATATATTCCCATTCAAAGATATAAATAAAGCTTTCAAACTACTTTATCGTATATTTTTATATTTTTTACTTAAGCCCCCTCTTTTTCTTAAACAAGTATTTACCCGTTTCAAAGTCTCCATGGCAACAACGAATGAATGACGTCATTAGCTTCGCGAACGGGCGAATATTCAGCATTTGACGTCAATGAACTGTCGACCCGAATTGTGAATCATCGATCATTTTTTAAGGACTTCAAATATAGCAATTCCAAATGGCAAACATTTGATATGAAGCTGTTTGGAAGTGAGTTTGACTGTAAAATAATACCTAAGTTGGTTTCCCCTGGTTTTTAGATTGTCATTTTAACTTTACGAACGCGACGTGACTTGTGAAGTGTCACAACACGCTTGTCATTCAAGAATCTTAAACATTGACTTCCTGTTTCTCAAGACTTGACCCTATGTGAGACATACTCRAAAGATTTGCATCTAAAATTTTATAGTTATTCTGAATAGGAGGAAGACGACTTAACAGTCGAAAATTAAGGGAATATATCATGTCTACGAAGGCTCAAGTTTGACGAGAAATTCAACGAAATCTGATAAGTAATTGGGAAATTTCATCTCAGAAGTTTACTTAACAAGTTGGACCGCTCAATTGCCCTTCGTAGTTTATAGTTTCAAATATGGAAGCGAAATTATTCAGTGGGCAGCAAAATGTCAACARTTGCATGGAATCCGAGTTCAACGAGAGAACTTTGGAAGAATTTTTGGAGCAATGTGTCGATAGAGCCTTTCAGCTGAGTCCCGAAAATGGTAAGTTTATCACGTCGCTTAATAACTGAATCGTGACCAAATTCACTGGGGAGTCGGAATAAAAGTCAAAAAGATACAAAAATAATTGATATAAAGACAGAAAATTCAGTTTTTTAATTCCTATATTGTTTAGCTAATATTTCAGAATRTTATAGATATTTTTGTCTTGCGTCTAGATATAGTAAAGCGTGGTAAACTTTATGTATTTAAGTACGACTGTTTGTCTGGCTTAATGGATTTTCAATTCAATGTGGATCACTTATTATTTACATAGTGAAGTCAATATCATTGAAATGGTGTGCTAAACGTGTGCTAAAACTAAACGCAGATGCAGCGATAAGCAATAAATGCATATCGATATTATTTATTTTTTTAGTCAAATTGTTTTCCTGTTTTTTTCAAAAAAGTTATCTTCTTATTTCTTTTTACGGTTGGTATATTTTGTTTCATAACAACTATATTTCGTTATATTCGATATTCGTATATTTTGTSATGTCAACGCTTTTTTAAAATAAGGTGATTTTGAGCCCAGTTTACAAATATTCATAGCTCACTTAAGGTATAATTTTAGGTGAGATATTCGTCGTATT